GGAGGTTTATCTATGAAGTACTTAATGGGATCGCTCATTGCGATCAACTTCACCTTTTGGCCTAGGATGTAGTGTCTGAATTTCTGGGTTGCAAATACTAATGCCAAGCACTACTGCTCCATGTGGGATTAGTTCTTTTCTAGTTATTTCAAGGTTCTACTGGCATAGTATATCGGACACTTAACGTCCTCATCATTGTCCTGGGCTAACAAGCATCCTACGGCCTTTGAGTTTGATGCGATATGCACCTTAAACTCTTGGCTACTCTTAGGTGGTGACATGGATGGGGTTCTGGCCAAAGTTTGCTTCAACTAGTTGAAAGCATCTTGATGTTCTATTGACCACTTATACGTTGTGGATTTCTTGGTCAATTTTAGCAACAGCATTGCTGCATGTGCTAGGCCAGGGATGAACCTTCTGAGATATGAGACTTTACCTAGGAAGGTTTTTAGCTGAGATTCAGTGCTTGGTGAAGGTAGGTCTAGGACTGCTTTCACTTTAACCTCATCCAGATGGATTTCAATTTGATCAACTCTATAACCTAGAAATTGTCTAAATTGTACTCCAAATGCATACTATAATGGGTTGAGTCACAAGTTAAAAGTTTGGCATCTGACAAGCACTTTTCTAAGTACTTCAAAATGGTCCTCTCTTTTGTTTGCCTTGACCACTATGTCATCTACATAGCAATCAATCTACTTGTGCATCATATCATGAAATACGCTCATTATCGCCCTCTGGCACGTGGCTCCAACATTATTCAGGCCGAAAGGCATCATTTTGTAGTAGAAGTTGCTGATTGGCGTTTTGAACACCGTGTGTGGTGCATTTATAGGGTCCATATAAATCTGGTTGTACCCGTTGTGGGCGTCTAAGAAGGAGAACAATCGGTTCCCTACTATTGAGTTTATTAGGATATCCATATTCATCAGAGGGAACTCATCCTTGGGGCAAACTCTGTTTAAGTCTCTAAAGTTGACACAACACCTAAGGTAGGGGTGAGAAAAGTTAGTGTGCTAATTTTGTTCTAACAACCGAAAAATAGTGTACTAGAACTTGGATACTAACCTAAGTTGTCCATTCTTCTTTTTGATTGGAACCACATTGGCTAACCACAGTGGGTATGCGATGGGCTTGGTAAAGCCTACTTTTAGAAGTCGTTCAACCTCCTCTTTGATTTTTAGAGCTATTTCTGGTTTGAAGATCCTCTATGGTTTTTCCATAGGTTTGAATTTGGGATATATGCATAATGAATGTTTGACAAGGCCCAAGTCCATTTTAACATCTAGTCGTATGACCAAGCGAAGACATCTTGGAACTCTATGAAAGAAAATACAACTTAGTTTCGCTTTAACAAATGTCCTAATATTTGCGATGTGGAAAAGAAAGGTTCTTGTACCTTTCAAAAGGTCTAGAAGTTTCTATTTCTCCTCGTGTCCTAACTTGGCCGAGATGTACAATGTCCTTTTCTCTACTCCTTTTGCAGCCATGTTCACTTCCTCTAACAGCTCTTCCAAAATATCAATAGAGTCTTGTATGTGCTTGGGAGGTGCGTGGACCTCATCATAATACTCTATGATTTCTTTGTTCTGCCCCTGTTATTTTGGGTAATTTTTAGTATTTTTTTATGTTGTTAATTGTATGCAATAATTCATCGTGTTGTACCTTTGATTTTGGTAGGCTCTATTTTGGGTGTTTACAATCCTTTTGCGATGAGATCATCGCGATGTCCATTTGTGGAGGTGGTACGACAAAATAGTTTTGATTGAGGCAACATTTAGAGAATGTGTGCATATATTTCCTTAATTGTGAAGACATATAGCTTAGAGAGCTCATTTGGTCATATGCACGGTGATAATTTGGTTTTAGCAGCAAATGTATGTATGGTAGCCATTTGATTTCAGCGCAGTAGAACATGCATGCATAGTGATTATTTTCAACTTTAGCGATGGCAGTATAGCCTACAATAAGCATTTGATGATATATATAGCAAATGTGCCATCGTCCTCATACTCCTCTACGATGGTGTAGTAACTCTTTCTGTCATTGCCGGTAACTCGTATGCACCTTGTTCTCTTCTTCTTTTTTGGTATGTAGGGGGTTCGCTCATAGGATTCAGCAGCTGCACACCTTCCACTTTGGCCACTTTTGTCTCACCTTCGTCGGCCAGTTCAGTATAGTAGATCAGGTCCTGCAAATGGGTTTCTGTCTTTTCAAAAGGGATGCAAGTCGCCGGAATCCTCACCACACGACCTCTGTGTTTTGCCTTGATACATTGATGGTATGTCGATGGGACTAGGGCCAAACCAAGTATCAATGGGTGCCCTAATAGGGCGTGGTATGCTATTCTCCCTGAGATCACCTAGAATTCTTAGGTGACGGTGAATGGCCCGATCTCAATCGGCAATTCGATGGACCCTTCTATGGTGGATACGTTGCCATTGAAGTCCGTGACCTCCATAGATAGTCCTTTGACAGTTTCTTTCTAAATGTTCATCAATCTAAAGGTGTCAATAGAGATCAAGTTCATAGAACTGCCCTAGTTAATCATCAACCGCTTCATCTCATAACCCCTATATTCACTGTAATGTACAAGTTCCAATTGTGGTGGGGGCAGTGGCTAGCATGTCGTCTTGAGTGAACTTCATGTGCAACCTATTGGACCAATGGGGCTCCAATGGTCTTCTGAGTGTTTCTGCCAGTGCCCTGATGGCAAGCCTCCTTGTCGAGGCACTAGCCCCTACTTACTGAAGAACTTTGTAGCTCTACGCTCTTCTCGAACCTTTGAATCAGCATGTCTAGGTGATCCTGGCCCGATGCTCCAACCACATTGATACTCCCTCCCTAGGTGTGCACGAGGAGTGGATTCATTTCTACTTGAGCCGGTTTTCCTTTTGACAAAATCATCAAGTTTTACCTTTTGCACAAATGATCGTTGGAGTGTGAAATAGCCCATCAGATCATGGTGTGGTGACTAGTGAAAGTTGCACCACCTCCCTCCATGCCTCTCCTTCTCCGTGTCAACTTCTGTTGGTGGTAGTGGCAGGATGATGGCACGGTCTTCTACCAACTTGTTCATTATCATTATTACATCTTCTTTGGTGTAGGCAAAAGGAGGAGGGGGTGGTGGTGTTTTCCCGGGCCAACCTGATCTCCAGTCTCCAGGTTAACGTTTTCTTGTTCATTGGTTTGCTCTTCAGGGATAGGGGAAAGGTTAATCCTGTGGGCATCCATCCTCTATGATCAAGGAATAACCAGAGATCCTAATGTGAATAGGGAGGTAAGACTACTTACGGGGGTCTCCTTAAAGGACAAAGGAAAGCCGAGAGTAGGAGGTATGCTAAAGGCTAGAGCAAACAAGGTGATAGAATAATGGTCTCGTTATGAGTTGGACCCCTATTTATAAGGAGAGATCCCGAGATCCCGAAAAGAATGAGCCAAAAGTGTTCGATTCTCATTAAGGAAGGGAATCTTGGATTCAATGTCAGTTGTTAGGGAATACTACTAGGGTTTCACCATGTGTCTAATGAGATATCTCAATGATGAGATTTCCTTTCATCTAAGGATTCTCATAATACACGTGTGCTACTTCCTTTCGCAAGCCTCTTAGACTGACGTAGCGCATGTGACATCACTACTTATCTCACATGTCCTTTCTAGTCTTACTAGATGTTTTGTCACGTGTGTTATTAGTGACATACGTATTTCTTTTACTCGTTTTTGACATGCGATGAGCTTTGAGTTTGAGCTCATCGCAAGTCTGCACGGGTACTAAGCTCATTGTAGTTCATTTTGGGTCTTGAACTTATTGCATGTCTACGTGGGTTCCGAACTCATCGCAGGTGTTCATGTGGTGTTGGTTTAGCACCTTCCGTGCTCTTATGGTCTAGGTGACCATCATATACCTACACTACTACAACTAAAATCACTTTTGCATTTCATGCAAATTACTCTCTTTTCGTTTCCCCAAAACTTCTTCTATTTGAAACATTTTTTAGACATCACTGATCTTTTTCTTGCCATCCTTAGAAGTACTAGGGGTGTTTTTTAGTACTAAAACCCATACCAAAGCTATCGTATTATAATCGGACATCATAGAAGTTGTAGGGAAAGGAATTATGAGAGGACCTGGCCATTTTAATAAATTATAATTATTAAAATTCTAAAACAATAAAAATTAATTATCACTTACCCAACCCATTAATTATATATACTAACTTTATTTCAACTGATGAATCTTTTAAGCCTCCCAGATTGCAAACTTAAAACACTTGAATAAGCTTTCTCCTTGTTGAAATTTGAATTAAGTTGAGAATTAAGAACTAAGGAGCAAGAGGAAGTATATGAGAGAGTATATGAGAATATATGAGTTTATGAGAGTACAAGAGAGTATGAGAATTGGTGTGATGAGAATGTGGGAGGGCAAGGGTATTTATAGTAGTTGGAAATAATTTAATTGATTGAAATACCGTTGAAAACTAGTTATTTTATAGTTGTTGGGAGATGTATTTTGTTTTTTTATAAAGTCAATTATCACTTTACTAAGATGTCCTCTCAAACTAGCTTTTATATAGATGTTGGGGGGCAATTAATTCATTTGATGCCCCCAAAGCTCAAATTAGCTACTTATAGCTATTAGGGATATTTCTACAAGGACAAATTTGTAATAGTACTCTTATGTTTAGGAAATTGACTAGCTCTACCCCTACTATTTATATATTGTTTTCATGGGAGATATTCCAAAGTTGAAGGGGCTGTGCAAACCGTTCTTGTGAGACCAAATCTGATTTTGCGCCCCACAAACGCCCCACTGCATATCCCAACAGTATATTGAAAACATCTCCCACTAACAACTTCGGACATGTATCGGAAACATCTCCCACCGACAACTTCAGAGATGTTCCAAATCCACGCTGAGATGTGCACGTGGGGCGCCCGCTGTGATCTCGCAAACTGCCGACTGCCTGGTGGACCAACCAAAACTCTTGAGACTGTAGCAGTGTAGCCCACTCCCTCCTCAGTCCCTGAGGCCTGACTCCCGGTCCTCTCGCACCATACGCCCATCTCGCTGCGGCGCATTCTAGAGAACAGCGTATCATGCGCGAAAACCGCGAACATCCTCCCTGCCTTCGACATAGCAAGCAGTAGTCCGAAGCCGGTCCTCTCTCTCTCTCTCTCTCTCTGAGGCCACAGTTCTAGCCGTTATGTCAATGGTCAAATTCTAGGGTTCAAGGCGGTTTCTTTTGCCAGATTTGAATGCAAAACCAGTCGAGCGATTCGATTTTGTTGCCATTTTTGTCAATCGACTGATCTGGAAGAGAAAGGTGGAGTCACTATTCTCATCTGACTGTAAGTTCAATTGGAAGTTTTTATTAATTTTTGCCTGTTTTCTAGACGTTTCTGTTTTTTAAATTCAGCCTCCCAACTTCTTGGATTGCTCTACTTTTTATGTCAATTTTTGTAGTCTAAACTCTATAGGTTGTTTACCGGAAGAATTAATACTTTGTTGTTGAGAATTCTTATCATATTTTTGATTAAATTAGCGATAGCAATTGCAAGGAGCATCATTTTTGTACCTCTTCTTTTCTGTTTTCTTTTGATACTATTTTGTAGGGTTTCTATGTTTAAAGTCTTCTTTGTTAAATTTTGATGAACGATACTATCCTTTTCGTCATTAGATATGCTTGCTTGCTTCTTTTTTCCACCTACCCTTTTATAAATATTTCCTGTGCTAATGATGGGAAATTGCAAATAACAGTGGAATAAAAAAAGTAGGTTATGCGTCAGATTTCAGGACACTACGAAATAAACTTTTTCCTTCATTTCACAAGTACAGCGTTGTATGCAGATTGCGGAGGATTATGAGCGAAATTGTAACTGGATTAACATACATTTGGTTGTCTTACGAGTGTAAAGTGATCTTACTGAAAAAAGTAAAGAGAAAATATAAAATAATGAGGAAGAATCACCTACAACATGTAGCTCAAATTAAATTAACTTTCTTCTACTCAATTTTATTTTACATCTCTCAACCTTCAGCATGTGCACTTTAACAAAGACAAATAATCAAATCTGAGCTTTCCTAATACATTCAACCTTCCTTTTATGATACAACTACCTAAACTGAACAATGCATGTTTTGGCGTATTTAAAAAGAAGCAATAAATTAAGGGGCCATTTGGCAAGTCTTTTTGGGAAGATCTTTTGGTAGCTCTGACAGTCAAAAGACGCATTGAGCTTTTGCATTAAGATCTGAGCAGCCTGAAAGCCCGTTTGGCTAAGGCGTGCCTTTTTGCGCATGAAGACGAATAGAAAAAAGCGCAAAAGCTCCATTTGGAGCTTCCCAAAAATCGCCCGTTTTGGGCTTCTCGTGTCTTTTTGGTGCGTTGGATTTTGGCGGCTAGATTTACTGCAAACCATACGGGAAGAGACCGAATCGCAGTCTGCCAACCTTGTAAATAGCCGGCAGACCACGGGGAAAGATGCGCCAAACGGGGCCTAAATAAGCTATGTCTCAATCCTAATATTCCCCCTTCCCTCTTAAATTTAACCTTGCCCTTGTCTTGATTTGGTACATTCATATTTGCTTGGATTATGGTATCTTTAAATTTGAAAGTGGAAATGGTGCCTAGAGGATGAAGATTTCCATGCAAGATAATAATATAAAAAAAGATTTCCACGCAAGGTATAAAGATTACCCATGCTGGTGGTTTCTTCAGCTTATCAAAGTGCTTCTAGTTTTGAAAGCCAGAATAGGAATTATGGAAAAAACAGGACAAGTGGCATGCTGACATGTATAGATATTCATCTGAACATGACGCTGAAGGGGATTGTAAGACTATGGTGTGGCTGTGGTCTAAGAATTATTGAAAGTTGGCATGAGAATGCCCCAACAGTGAGATCTTGAAGTTTTGGAAATGTGAAATAAGAATTCTTGCAACTCTGAAGAATGAGATGAAACTTCACAAGCTCTGCGGGTGCATAAGGATGGGGTTGCTGAATGGAGGATTAGGGTTCTCAGGGGAGAAGATGGTGTTCCCCCTTGGATGAAAGTTTGGATAAGATTGATTTGGTTCTGAAGGTAATGGGAATGTCTGAGGTCTCAAGGTGTCTTGAGTGTCTCTCTTTTAGGGTTCTCAATCACTCCTTTATATAGAAAAGACTGCCATGCATTTCTCGTGTGCTTCGAGATGATTCTGAATATTCCTTTATTAGGAGATAATTTAGTTATTCCAGCTGAGCACATGTGGGTATGGGCAAGGATGTAGAGGTGAAATCTGGTACTAGACAATGCACTTTTCTTGGTCTCTCTAGGAGTGCTCAGTGGGCACATATTTGAAATCGAATCGGTCCTTCGGTTTTTGAAAAGTACTGAACTCAAAATGAACCAGATCAATCGGTTAATCAATTAACCAGTTGAATAGTTCATTTATTTGGTTTTTTATATTTATAATATATTATAATATTATTATATATAAATACTATAAATAGATATTGTAAATATATATACATCAATTGGTTTGGTTAAGCATGGTTTTTTTAATAGGTTAACTGAAGCCGAACTGACCGGTTTGCTTAATCGGATTTTTTGATTTGAATTACCGGTTTCAGTTTTTTAACAAGTATCTTTAGTATGCTTAGGATTTTTACAATACTCACATACCACTTCTTTATTCTCATTAGTCCCCTTGACTTATCCTTGCATGTACAAATGTTCTAAAAATTGTTTAGCTTATAATTGTAGCTTTCGCCTGCTCTCTTCACTATTGACCTTGGTGTATGCCTGAGAAAGAATCACTTCATCCTTTGTTAAAATATATTTTTTTGGTTACATCAAAGTCAGAGTTGAGTCCAGTTAGAAACTCGAAAACCTTGTCCTTTGATTCAATTTTCTATTAGTCTTAGCATCCTTAGTACTTTCCCATGCAATTGTTTTTACATCAATCTCATGCCATAGGGAATTCAGCATAGAATAATGTATAGCTAAAGATTTCTCCCGTCTTAAACTACTGATATCATTCTAAATTTATAGGGACTTCAGATCAATCTTATCCAAACTTTCATCCAAGGGGGAACACCATCTTCTCCCCTGAGAAACCCTAATTCTCCATTCAGCAACCTCATCCTTATGCATCCGCAGAGTTTGTGAAGTTTCATCTCATTCTTCAGAGCATATTTTTCAAGGTGCCAAGGTGAGGCTAAGCGACCATGGGGCTCCCAGGCGCCTAGGCGGGTTCCTAGCTCTCGCCTAAGCGATGGAATTTAAAAATAAGAAGCCGATGGATTTCTACCCCTTCTGAACTAGTTTTTTTGGTTTTTATGTATTCTGCACTTACTTTTGTGCTTGTGTTTCTTGCAGTGTTTCTTGATGAGAATAATTACTAAATAAAAGAAGAAAATGAAGAAGAAAAGTAAGGGGCGGAGCCCCTGTTCTAGACCCAGAAAAGCTGGTGAAAAAATATTAAAATAAAAGAAAAAATATGAAGAAGAAAAGAAGGGGCTCTGCCCCTGTTTCAGACACCAATGATGAGAACAAAAAAAACTGAAAAATGCAAGAAGTTAAGAACAAAAGAAGGGGGCGGAGCCCCTGTTCTAGACCCGGAAAAGCTAGTGAAAAAAATACTAAAATAAAAGAAGAATATGAAGAATAAAAGAAGGGGCGGATTCCCTGTTTCAGACACCAATAATGAGGGAAAAAAAGCTGAAAACACACAAGAAATTTAAGAACAAAAGAAGGGGGCGGAACCCCTGTTTTAGTCCAATAATATGATTCAAACCAGAAAAGAAGAATGGTTTTAGTCCAACAAAAAGGAAGAGGAGAAAAATGGGGTGTAACCACTATTTTAAACCAGTGGAAAAAGAGAACAAAACAAAGAAGGAAACTGATTAACTTACCTTGACTTAGAGGACTGTGTCGGAACGATGGAGGGCTGTTGTTCTCTCATCTTCCTCAGTTTGATAGTTTTGTCAAAGTGTAACCCTTGAGATTATTTTGTTTTTACTTTCCTCACAACAAAAACATGATAACATGCAAATTGTAACAATGTGGAAGGATGAGGTGGTGGAGTCAATGATGGAACTGATTGGGAGATTCTCGATATCAATGAAGTTCATGAACATAAGGGATGGTTTTATCTGGGTATTTACCAATGTTTATGGCCCAAATAGATACTGGAAAAGAAATGAAATGTGGGAGGAATTTTATGCTATTAGGGGTCTATGGGATCGGCCGTGGTGTGTGGTAGGGGACTTTAATGTGGCTAGATTCTCAAATGAAACAAACAACCCCAACTAGTAGGTGACCACTAGCATTAGGAGATTTAATGAATTTATAGAAACTTGTGAACTGAAGGAAATCCCCCTGATGCAAGTCTGATTTACTTGGTCTAACTTTGAGGAAGTACCCCAATGCTCAAAATTAGATAGGTTCCTGTTTAATGAAATTTGGGAATCCCATGAAGCAAAGTTTCTAGAACTTTATCTAGAGTCACCTTGGATCTAGTGTTTTAAAAGTGAAAGGCACAAAAAAAGCACAAGGGCTATTTTGCGCCTGAGGTGCAAGGTGAGGTATTTACCTTTTTTGAAGCAAGGCATAAAAATGCAAAATAAATCTAAAAATTCAAAAAAATCCAAAAAATTCAAAAAGTGCAAGTTATTAAAATATTAAACACATTATTAATTAAAAATATAAACTCAAATTTTAAACCTATTATCTAAAATTAAAATACATAAACATAACATGTAAAACATATTTAAAATGGAAATTTAAAAATAAAATCAAGCATAATATATACAACATATTCAAGCATGTAAACTCTTAATTTTTTGGTTTTTTTTTTCTCAATTGCATTATTTCAAATTGCTATTGTGATGTTAAACATTATGTATTCTTGATTCTACGAGCCGCCTTTAGTGAGCGGAGAGAACCCCATATTTGGTAATGTTGCCTCGAGGGACTCCACTCCCGATCCAACTACCAAACACACACAAAAAAAAAAAAAAAACAGAAAAAATGCATATATTTTTAAAAGGCACACACATGGGCTGAAGATCAAGGTGTATCTAGCACACGCCTAGGCGCACTAGGCATGCACCTTTTGAAAATACTCCGCTTGGGACCTAGGTGAGGCACATACCCTAAAATGTACCTTGCCTGCAGGTGCGTCTATTAAATCACTGCTCAGATTACTGTCCTATTAAGTTAGGTCTAGAAACCTTTGCAAATGGTCCTACCCCTTTTAGATTTGAAAATATGTGGTTTATACACCCATATTTTGTGAGAAAAGTGGGGGTTTGGTGGAAGGAGTTAAGAGGAGTGGAGTGGAAAGGAGTGAAATTTTACAAGAAATTAGAGAGGTTGAGAGAGAAAATAAAGGAATGGAATAGGGAGCACTTTGGTAGAGTAGAGGAATAAAAGCCCAAACTTTTGTCTAAATTAGAGGAGTTAGATGAGAAGGAAGCCCAGGAGACCTTAGTTGTGGAGGAAAGACCGTTCAGATATAGGGTTAAGAAAGGGCTAGAAGAAGTTTTATTAAGGGAAGAGATTTGTTGGAGACAAAGATATAGATGTAAGTGGATAAAAGAAGAGGATGGTAATACAAAATTTTTTCATGCCCTAGAAAATGGGAGGAGGAAAAATTATGTGCCTAATTTTGAGATGGAAGGGCAGGAGATAACCAATCAGGATGAGATTGCTAAGATCTTTGTGGACCACTTCAAATCAATTTTGTAGGAGGCCTTGAATGAGAGAATGAGTGTGGGGGAATTCGAGTGGCCTTGTGTGGAGACTGAGGTAGCAAATTGGTTGGAAAGGAATTTTGAAGGAGAGGAAATTTGGAAGACAGCATTTTTAATGGATAGATCAATCCCCTGCCTAGATGGTTTTACAATGGCTTTCTACCAAGATTGTTGGGAAATTGTGAAAGATGATTTGTTTGAAGTCTTCAATGAATTTTCCATGAAACATAGAGTTAGTCTAGGGGTGAATGCAACCTTTCTAGCCCTTATCCTGAAGAAAACCGATGCAACCTTTCTTGTGCTTCTTTGTTCAAGTCCTTTTGTGAATCCTCAATCTCTCGTTTTCCCTTTAAAGGGTTTTGGTGTAGACCCATACCACCCAAAGTAAGAGCTTTCTGTTGGGAAGTAGTTCACGGGAAGATAAGTACTGACATGCTATAGAAGAGAAGACCTAATTCTTGTTTCTTTTGTAACTGGCGTGTCTTGTGCAAATCTAGTAATGGGAGTTTCCATAATTTACTGATTTCCTGTCCCGTTGTTGCAGCTATTTGGCATTGGTTTTTCTCTTTGTTCAGGTGCAGGTGGACTTTACCTATGGAGGTTAATATACAATTTGATCCTTCTCTATTTACTTGGCCAAAGAAGAGGGGAAGGATTATATGGAGATGTGTTAGAACAGCCTTGATTTGGACCATCTGGGAAGAGAGGAATGCAAGAATCTTCTCAGAGAAGGAGAGAAGGAAGAAATTAGGACTTGTGATAGTCAGGGTGATCCATTGGGTTAAGACCTTGGAGCTGTTCTCCTAGTTTTCTTTTGATGATATTTAGAGGAATTGGGAAGCAGTTGCTACAAGCTTTTATAGAAAGGACAGAGTGGTGGTTATTGGGTTACCTCCAATTAAAGGTTTTGATAAACTGAACTTTGATGGGAGTAGCCAAGGTAATCCAGGCCCTTCTGGAGTAGGAGGGGTTTTGAGGGATGGAGAAGGTAAACTTATGGCACTCTTTTCTGGCCCTGCAGGTGTGGTGGAATCTCTTAAAGCAGAACTGCTTGCTGCAATAGAAGGGGTGCAGATTGCTAGTGAGCTAAACTTGGCAAACGTGGTGATCGAAGGGGGTTACAAAGTGGTGGGGGAGTGGTTAAAGAATCTAGAGTCCATAATTTGGTGCTACTGGAATGAAATGAAAAAAATTAAATGGCTTACCAGGAATGCGAATTTGAGGATACAATGGGTGAGGAGATCAGCAAATGGGGTGGCAGATGCTTTGGCTAAGAAAGGGGTGAATAAGTCATTTTTGTTTTGGGCACAAATGTAATTTGCTTTATTATTGAGAGGTACCATATCATGCCTCTCTAAGGGAATGCTTGCAAAGCTGTTACCTTAATAATTCATCAAAAAAAATGGGTTCCTGTCAAGTTGAATTTTGATGGAAGCAGCCAAGGCAATCCAGGGCCTTCAGGTATAGGGGGTGTCCTGAGAAATAAGGACAGCAACATAATCTCCTTATTCTCAGGACCGGTGGGAGTAGGGGACTCCACAAGGGCAGAAATCCTTGCTGCAGTACAAGGAATTCAGATTGCTAACCAGCTTGGGG